TTTATTCTACGGAAGGAGAGAAGTGAAATTATTTAGATTTAAGTGAACAAGTTATTTACCTTGTTATTTTTAAAGAAAATTTTCAGCGCTCAATTTTTTTTTTTTTTTGTACTTAGCTTTCACCATTAAGTTTACGATGCTTTATGGAAAATATATTATAAAGAAATTAAAATAAGACTGTTGAGCGGGAAATTAAATTTCATAAGAAAGGTATCTAATTAATTATAGGTACTGTTATAGACAAGCGTATGGTTGCAAGAAAGAAATACGACAACAGCAGACAGATTTACGTGATTTGTTTCAATAGGAACATGTGGTTTTGGGACAGCTACCTTGTGGTATAGTTCATAAGCCGGCTGCCAACTTGGGTTGATCACGCATAGTAGTTCTCGCTGGTTGTTGTGGCGCTACTGCTGCTGACTGCTGCTGCCTGCTCAGACCGACCATGACCGATCTCTTCCCTGGCCTCCTGTTGACTGCTGTTGTACTTCCCTGTGTGGCCCCTTTTATGGAGTTTTTTATGGCTTAACAGGCTCGAAAAACGACGTGAGTATAATTAGGAGGGAAGCATTTTTATTGGTCGAAAAATAGAAACACTTTAAAATATTATTTTATTTTTTGACCGGAACTTGTGCGTCGGGCTTATGCGTAGATGACGATAATGGTCATTTTGTGACGGGGCCTTGTCCCGTTCACACCCGGCTCTCGCTCTTAAGTATGTTAGTTTATTTGCCTGCAAATCAGCTAAGATATGTCTTATTTTATTTTATAACAATACCTTTCTTATGAAATTTTATCAGAAGTGTACATAAAGTACTATAATTTTATGTACATTTATTACATTTTACTGTGTTATTTGTATTTTCATTCATTTTATTATATTTCATTTATGGAAAAAATGCCATAACTGAGATTAATATAAAAATAAGATCATATAAATTTCATAAGATAAAAATGATACTTGTAGGTACCCTTCTCAGTTGAAATTGAAAAATCAAATTAACTTCACACATGTTTCTCAAAAGTAAAGGCCTTAACAGCGGAGAACAATGCTTAAATCAAATAACACAACTTAATTGTATTCTGGTTAGTCTTCCGTATTTTATAATTACAGCCTGATTATAAACACAAAATTACATTTCTTAATTACTGCAGGTTTTCTGATTAGTCAAAACGATACAATTTACAACGCGCTAAAAAAGATCTATCTCATAAGGAAATTTATGAAACTGAATGCGGCTTTTAACTAATTTTATAATATTTTAACAACTTAAATGTAAAAATCTATTATAATTAAAGAAATAACAAATAATTGTATTAAAAATTCATTTTTCATTTTGTATGTTACAATTCATAGCTGATTTTCAGGTAGGTGGGGATCCAGTTAAAAAAAAATACATGATTTGCTTTTCTCAAAGCCTTGTGCTTTTAACTAATATAATCACTAAACTGAATTGCGATTGAATTTCTAGAGTTTTCATAAAATTAGTTATAGCAGGGGTAATAAATATAAAAAAATATTTTTTCCATGACTTTAAAAAAAGAAAACATATTTATAATAATTTCCATCATTTGTGAATAGTTTCTGAAAGTTTCATTAACATCCGACAATTATTTTTACTTTTGCAAGATTTTCCAAATTAATGTCTGTTGTGACGTCACCCCGGTCTCTGCTCCTGTGCTATCCTGTGATGATCTAACCCTTGGCTGGTTCGGATGGAAATCTGGTTTACCACGGAACCATGTGTGACACTAACCCCTCTGGTTGTCTTGGTCGTGGTCGATGTCTGGTTAGATTCGATATCAACTTTGTCGTTCCCAGCTCGCTTCCAACGTCTGGTTACCAAAGTAACTGCTTTGATTTCTAGTCTGACCTACCCACGTTGTGATTTGATCTTAGGTAGACGAAATCAATCAGACGTTGGGCCGTAGTGCAAGCCGAATCCGGGGCAAAGGCGATACCGCACAAGTATATGTAAAAGAAAATAATGTAACAACTCAAAAGATTCAGATGTGTTGAAAAAAAAATAACAAGTATCTTTATATCTGGTTGCTGAATACAGGACTGCATCTTTCTCTCAAACCGCTTCTATGGATTTGTGACACTTTGCATTTCTTAGGCGAGTCTTAATATCTTAAGTTGTCTTTCAATAAACTGCTTTTTGGTATCTTCAGGCGATATTTGTAAAACTTGTTTTGGTGGTGTGAGTCTAAGTCGTTCTTCAAAAAAAAAATTGTTTTTGGTTAGAAGTCTAAGTCGGAATGCGTGGAAATCTTTCAGTCAGCTGCTGTGAGGCTGGTCTCCGAGCTCACAGCTCAACTGCAACTCAACTCTCCTGTAACTGGGGACGTTCGTTTATATGGACGCCGACCAAAACCGGGTGGGGGCCTGTCGTGGTTTGGGTCCCTCAATAATTCCAAATCCGCAATAAGGATTTTCTTTGTTTTCGGACAGGAAAATTTATCATTTCCCATTTTTGGAAGTCAATTACTTTCTGTTTTAAAGGGGTTTTCCACCTCTCTGTGGTCGGGGTTCGTAAGGGAATTGTCCTCCTAAATTCTTCCTTTCTCATATTGGTATCTCATACCAATCCCCTCAGAGGGCGTCAACAGGTTTCCCTTCTTTCTCATATGTTTACCTTCACCCATTACTCACGCCACCACTCAGCCAATGAACGCTCAGCAGTGTGGGTGTGGCTAGACTGGCCTCAGTTTACAATTATCACTCAAAGAAAAAAAAATTATCTTCCCTTTTCTTTTCTTTCTTTTCCATCGGCCAGAATTCTTATGAATCGTACTGTGGACATTAAATTTTTATCTTTTGATGTCATCTGGGATTCATTAATGGGATTTTCGCCGACTTATTATCTGGGTGGTCAACTAAATCTCTTTGTCTTTCTCAACATCATCGCATTCTGAACAAATTTTTATCATGACAAGTTCTGGACATACAACAGATGTATCTCCTTCCAAAACCAAATGATATCTCCGAAAGATAGTTAATGGCTTATTCTTTTTCTCTTTCCCCTTTTCCTTTCTTTTTCTTTTGGGGTGGTCTCGCCTAATTCTTTCTCGGTCGCATACTTGACCCAGTTTTCAATTATCTTCTAGCATTCTGCTTTGTAAGCCTCTTGACCAAATTGAAATTTTCATTATTGCCATGGGCAGATTGTTATCTTTACCCGTATTCTGTTTTTCCTTGTCACATCATGGCATAAATTAATTCTGACAGGATCCTGATACCTTACGAATTTTCTATCTTCTGCGAAAAAAGATACCTTTCTTCGCAAATGAAAGTAAAATCTTTACCCATTTTCTTTTGTTAAAAAAATAACATCGCTCAATATGTCTTTTGTTGTAGGTTTTTCTCGCCTTAAGTATTTCTTGCTTTTAATTTCCATGCTTAATTAGTTAGCCAATTACCATAGCTAAATAGTGTCACACTGTCATACAAAAAAAAACATGCTGAAAATTTATGTTATTTTACTAGTTCTCACGGAGGTACCTAAATAATATATATTTAAAAATATTTTTTCTTACAACAGTATTTTACTGTTGCTTCATAAGAAAACCTGCATAATTACAAGGAAAATTCCAATATCTTATTTTAACTGTTTTCAATCACAAGCAATTTACATCAGACATAAAGTAGTTGAAATGTTTTACTGATCAAAAATCAAGATGAGGAGTGGAGGACTTGTTATGTCGGGTTTTATAGTTGAAAGAATAAATTTGGGCTGCGTGTTCAAAGACATGTATCCTCAACACATCTATATTATACTTCAATAAAAATAAACAGAAAAGCATAGAACAATACTGAGAAAAGACAAAGGCATTTATATTAAATAGCAATCAATTTTCATTTATATTGTATGACGATTACAATGTATTGTAATAAGCATAGATTTTTGAATGAAATCTCGTATTGATTGTTAGCTTGATTAATGTTAAACTCTCTCTATATATGTGGTGTGAATGATGCTTATGAATTTAACTGAGAGATTAAGTGTTGCAAAATTTGTGATGAAAGTTTCACAAAGTAGGATGTAGTAATAAACTGTTGATAAGAAAATTAAACAGCTTGTGTCAAATAATAAATTCATATTAAATTTGTGTAAATTTAGTTTGAATAAAGTTGTCTTCCTTTGACTGCTCTTGATGAGACTTGAAGTTGGAATGTTTGTGAAAGTTCAGAAGATGATTTCATTGTTGAAAAGTTCTTTGCTTTGTTTGAATGAAGTTGCAATGTTTATTCACTAGCAGGAATATTTATGAGCTGCTGGGTGAATGGATGGATGAGTGAGTGAAATTTCTGGAAGTTTGTTATATGTTCGCAAGTAACTCTGAAAACTTCAGATGAAGTGACATAGGTTCGTGTAGCAAATAGTTTGAAGTCACAATGCTCATTGGCAAAGTGAGTTAGTGTTCTGTATTTATTTACTTGGGTATTCTCCAGAGAAATTGGCACTAAAAATTTTAACTTGAACACATGATGAAAAAACCTTGTGTGTGGGTGGATAGCAACACCCACTTGTATGTTTGTTGATCAGTTAGAACTTGAATATTCAAAAAAATATGTGCGAAGTTGGATCTGTTCAAAACATGGCTGTGATCTACTTTTCGCACAGAAATTGAACAAGTTATTTTTAGTAATTCGTAAATATATAGAATTAGGATTCTACAAAGGTACTGAAACTTTAATTATAAATAACCAGTTCAAATATTTTAAACTCATTTTTGTTCAATACTTCAACTGATATAAATATTATCTTACACTGTTTTTGAACAATTAAAGTTGAATCTAGCCTACTGCCATTTTGTAAATCATCTTTCAAAATCTTTCTTAGATTTGACTTCTATTGGTCACTTCTTAATAGAATTGGCATGTGTTATCTTCTAAACCACTTTAGAAGATAATGTGTGAGTGATTTAAATAACAAAAACAAGAGAATTTTTTCTGTTGGTGTTTTATTAATAAACCAGATTACTTTTTTTTTCAGAAGATAAAAATGCCATGAACCTGAAACGAAGAGAGGCCATAGAAAAAGCTCAGAAAGAAGCAGAAGAAGATAAAAAGCAAAATGAAGAAACTAGAAGAAAAAATGAAAAATATGCATTGAAGAAAATTATGAAAGTATGAAAAAGTTACAAAATTCCTTTTAAATTTCCATTATTAATTTAGCTAATGGTATTTCTTTTAATAATTTTCCAAGAAAGCATTATTATACAAACTGATATTATTACTTTAAAAATTTCTATATGAAAGCCAATAATCCATTTCATTGATAAGACATTAATATTTCTTTAGGAAGCCTTTTTTTAGTTTGGGTTGAACTCATTCTTTTTTGTTGTTATAATCAGTTCAGTTACTTAACTTTCAAAAGCTTTATATCTACATTTACTGGAATATTTAAAAAATTTTATATTTAAAGTGGGGAGAAGTAAGAAGAAAAGGACGTTTTTTATTGTTTTCAATTGTTGAATGAAAATTTGCTTGCCAAAAGTCATAGTGCAAACAGATAAAGTTTATCATTTTAAGAGATTGAACATGTACATTGAATCATAAATTATTTGCTGTCAATAAAATTTAAAATTGATGTTACTGGTAAAATTGTCAGCAGAAACAGGCATTATAGAATTGTTAATTCCAATTTTATTTTCTTTAGCATGAAGAAGAAGAAAAAGAAAGAATACAGAAAATAAAAGATCAAGAAAGACAAAAAGCAATGGCAGAACTGCAGAAATGGAAAGAAGAACAACAAAAATTAGCAGAAAAGGTTCATAATTTAATTTGCTACTTAAATTATATCTTTATATGAAAAGTAATTAAATCTTTGCCACATTTTTTATGATATGCAATAATTTTTAGTTTTATAATCCAGTTCTCTGTGAAGCTATACTTTGCAATTTAGCATCTTTGCTAGAAACATTTTTTTTTTCTTTTTACATACATTTTGGATAGAAATTTTAACTATGGCAAACATGACTTTATAAAATGAAATAATAATGGTGTTGTAGTGACTTCAAATTTTGTTCACTTAAATAACTTTTATGTAAATTCTACTGCCTTTTGGGAAATGAAACTTACACAGTTTACAAACCAAATGCAGAGGCATTTTCCCTACCAAGTTACAGACAATTAGAAATTGTAATAAATGCACATGAACTAAAATAAAATTAAAATTAACTTGTCATTGACAAAAATTTGAAATCTTGGTCTTTGTCTAGTTTTATGTTCACACCTTGCCAAATGCAATAAATCAAAAATCCATTTTTGTTGAAATATGATGCAAAATCTTTTTCTCTATTTTGATACCAAGTGAAAGTTGTTCCTGGATATAAGTTTTTTCTTTTAATCTGAACCCCAAGTCATACATCTTTCGTCAGACTGAGGTTTCTTACTAAATCATTAAGTTCATCCTGAGTAAATGGCTGTGGTTCATTACTAGAACATGTTGGGACAAATCCTTCCTCTTTTTCTGCAACATTTTCTTACTCTGGGTGATTTTCTGCTTAATCAAGATTAATAGGTGGAGTAGAGATTAGTAGATTCGTGGAGTTCAGATTTTCTTGTTAATGGACAATTAGGATAAGCAATAGCTTTCTAATTCATTTTGTTTTATCCTTAGATTTTATAGGAACAACGATATATCAATAATATATATCCATATTGTTGGAGTTTGGAAGCAAAAGCCTTCTTTTTTTACTTTTTTCCATTCTCTTAGTTCCTCACCACAAATATAGGGATTTGCTTTTTGTTTTGGTCTTCAATGTAGACATTATGATTTTGATTTTTTTTAACAAAATCTATTATATTCTCTCTTTGTTTTTTCAATAATACTTATTAATATTTCAACAAATATAGTAAAAAGGATAAGAACTATTTATGCAACCTCTAGATATCATGAGATTGTTATTATCAGAATAAGATATTTTGATTTATCTGTAAAGAAAAAAACAATGTTTCAAACAACATTAAAAATTTAGTTTTTATTTAGTTTTGTAGTGTTTGTGAAATTTTAAAAAAATATATACAAATTAAGATTTGGTCAAATTAAAAAATTAGACAGATTCAAATACATTAGAACATATTCTATTAATTAATCAATTAATAAAGATATCAATACTGAGTGGATACCAACTTAAAATAAAATTGAATTAACTTATAATTTATGAAGAAAGAAAAAATTTACACAGCATTTAAAACATATCAAATTTTTAATCTTCAAAATTTCTGTTGTGTAGTGTAACTGATGTGCAGGAAGTTACATGCACTCAACTGCCTTATGAGTAATAGCCACAGCTATTTATTATTGTCTTTGTGACTTCATATGTAAACAAGTCACCTCATCTCCCTGTACCGAAGAGGCTTTATCCCCTTATTTTATCTGGTACTTCTTCTGGGAGCTTTTGTCTCCTCACTATCTTCCTTCCTCTCCCTAAGAAATTGTTTAGATATGGAAGATCTTGACCTTTTTCTTTTTTCATAGGAGTGTTCTTCCAACGATTGTTCTCGTTCATGTTCAGTGTCTATATTGCTCTTGATTTCACTGTCCACTTTGTCTTGCCTTGACATGACACTTTTGCCTTAATTACTTTCAGGCTCACTATATATTTCTTCATTGCTATTGTGTTTGCAATCTAACTTGGTCTGCATGCACTAATATCCCATTTCCATTGTTTTCTATTATCATAGTGTTCTGTCCATTTTGCATTATGAATCTTGCCTCTTGTAGATTAGATTCATTATTCTTTTTATACAATAGTTTTTCATTGGTGGGATTGGACATGATCAATGGGACTCTAATTTGTCTACCCATGAGGGCAGACAGGCTTTTTGATCTTCCAGCATGTGGTATTATCCTATAACTTAGCAACAAGTTAGTAAGAAATGTTTCTATATTTTCTTTCTGTTATACGCACATTTTAAATCCATTTTTTTATAGTTTGCACCATCCTTTCTGCTAATCTGTTAGATTGCAGATGGTACAGGGGGTAGGAGTTTATATGGGTTGCATCCAATTTTGTTCAACCATTGGCATAGTTCCTCATCACAGAACTCTGGGGCAGTCAGATACTAACATTTTTGGAAATCTATTTCTTGAAAATATGATATTTAACACTTGTTTCATGGTTGAATTTCTTTTGTTGGAGACCTGTATTACTACTGGCCAGCCTGAATATGAATCTATCAGTATTAATAATAATCCCATTTCATTAACATGGACATGATCCATGGGTACTCTCTCTGAAGGCCATGTTTGTGTTTTTTGTCTGTCTAAATTTTCTTCTGTCATTGCACATTTTATACCTTTTTTGAATTCTTCTACATCTGTAGAATAGGCTGGTGTCAGGTGTCCAGAAATTGATGTCGCTTTCTTTCAGCAATACATCTCACTGAAGCCTAGAAGAGCAGTGATCCCCCACGTCCAGTTGCCTGGTTTTTAACAGGTAGCATTGTTCTCTTATGCATAAAAATGGCAGTAGGCGTATGCACGCGCGACCGACTCTCAGAGAATGGTTTGACAGCGAATTCGTTTTGCTCCTGGTAAGTTACTGTCATGTCTATTACACTCTCCACTGATCATATGATCACATAAGTGACAGTGAGGGGCTGGTTGTTTCACCCTTGCTCTCCTTCGCGGTGGTATAACCATGTCTTCCTCCCTGGCTGAATCATCAGATGTGTCCTGGTCTGAATCATATTCCAGGGGATCAATAAGGGTCAAGTCTACTTCTTCCTTGCTCTCAGACGGGGTGTCGCTGCTGCTTGCACTGGAGCTTGGTTCTTGCCATTCATGACTCCCTGATGTTGTGTCACCGCCATCATCCGCTGGTAACAATGAAGTGAGCCATGGACATACATCTCCCACGTGCCACAGTATCCCGTCGATGACTACCAACTGTGCACTGTTTGTCCCCATGACACAACCTTTCACAAACTTTGACATGCAGCTTCCGTGTGGATTTTTTACCCAACTGCGTCTCCTTCCTTATACCGAGTCAAAGTCGCCTGGTTAGGCAAGGGCACAACGTCAATTCCTTTTATTCAAATTTTGTACGAATGCAGCAGATTGGTGGGCACAGAAGAGGCAGATACGTCATCCCTGGGTGTGATGTTATACCAATACACGGCCTCCATAATAGGGCAGCTCTTTTGCGCAGCAATCCGTTTGATTGTCCGATGACACCTCTCTACAATAACATTTCCAGATGATTTGTACACCCCATTCTTCCGTGAATTGTTTGAATTGCTGACTGCGGAATGCAGTGTCATTATCAGCCAGGATCTGCACTGGGGCACCACGTTCAAAAAACACCGACTCCAATTGCCGGATTACGTGTGCAGCGTCTTGCCAAACTAGCAGCCGCCAGATCGAAACCGTGTGGGGCCGCAGTTGATCAGAGTAAAAAAATGGTGACTGTTATAGTGCGTGATGTCCATGCCTAGATTCCTCCAAATTTCACGCACAATGAGCTCTCCCTTCTGCCATCGCACAGAAGCTGGATCTATTGAGTGACACTGTTCACAACTCCAAACGACCGATCTCACCGCTGCTTTCGACATCGACGGGTTGATCCTACATGCGAAATATAGTGTCCGTTTAACTCCAGGGTTCCCGCTGTGTTGATGAATCTCAGTTAACTGAGCAGAGCTCGGGTTTCCTATGGCAAAAGCACATACTGGTGGAACAGGTTCAAGTTCCTTCATATTGTTGAACCATCTCTGGGGAACTCTAGTCAGCAAGTCAACTCGGTTCTGGTCGGATCTAACTAGTGCTATGTCAAACGAAAGGTTGTACTCTTTCACAAGAGAAGTTAGCGTTTCAAGTTGTGTATATTTATGAGCATCTCGCTAACGGCCTTGGTGCTCAGCCGAGACTTTCCCGTAAGGGCATTAGTCACCCAATGTTACACGCAGAGGGAGTCTGTGTTCACGTGTAATACTGTAGCCTGCCATTTTAGCGCGAGGTTGATTCCTTTTAGCACAACATCTAGTTCAGCCACATTGATATGCTGGGTGTTTTTTATCGGCCATAGCCAGCATGCGTCCTCAATGATGGCTCCCTTAGCATCAAGCGCTACTCCTACAGCCAGCGAACTCACGTCCACCCACACGTCTAGCTCCTTCATATTCATGCACCATTCTCCCTGTGCAGGATCCAGTTGCTGTGCCCGGGTGAGGGTGTCTGTTATCATACATTCCAGGGGAGCATCACTAATTTTTTTGTCCCAGTTTTGTGTTACAGCAGTGGCTCGACATTTGATGAAGCCTGTCGCCACTCGCAGCCATCCACACACGGGGAAGTGTCCCACCAGCTGGCCACACATGACGAAAATACCTCTCCGTGTCATAGTCATAGGGCCATTTACCATTCTACTTACTCGTTGCCATCGCAGTCGACCCTGTTCCTTCCATACTTCTAGTCCCAGTACTCTGGCTCTGTCCTGTAACTTCTCTGGATCCTTGCTCATCAGTCCGTAGAGCTCGAGATGTTTCCTCACAGATTCTGCGGATGCCACATCCTCATTGATATATATATCGTCAATATATGTTGACGTTGCTCTATTTATAGTTTCATTCTGTGCTAACACAGCCTTGAGCACAGCTCGCATTATCAGGGGCGCCACATTCAGGCCAAACCCCAGCCTGGTCAAACAGTATCGCTTCCCTTTAAACATAACTGTTTGGTATGGCCACAAAGATTTTTCAACACAGATCTGTAGGTATGCTTTCCTGAGGTCCAGAATGGACACGTTCGCTCCCTGCTGTCTCCAGGCTCGCAGATTTTCTGTGCAAACATCCGCGGCACCTGTGAATGTTTCAACGTAGGTATTCAGTTCCCGATAGTCCATCACAGGATGCACCTTATGCTTGTTGGTCTGCAGCACGGCCATCAGCGGTATCAGTCCCTTGGGTGGGCCAAACTCCTTGTCACTGTACGGCACCAACCAACCATTGTCCATTCATGTTTGCAATTCATGCTCATACTCCTCTCTCATGTCACTAGATACCGAATATTCAGAGATCCGATTCTGAAGTTTTCCCTGGTGCATGACCTGCCAACCACGACTCCCAACCCAAACTCCCTGCCGTTCATTGAATTTTGAACTGAAATTGGCTTCGTTGATACAAATCGCTGCACAGACGGACCGTGGTTTTTCAAACTCCAGACTTCCATGCTGCATGATGCGAACTCCACTGAGTGCCTTAATGGCATCAATGCCAAGCAACAGGTCGAAATCCAGGGGCTTCCCTTGCATAACCAGCACATCAATTGTAGCAGTATTACTGGTTGCTGTGTGAATTCTGATGGTGCCCCTTCCACAGCAAGCCTGCGTAGCTCCGGTTAATGTAGATACCGCCATACCCTGCTTCGACCAAGACTGACATAAACTCGTGCTCAAGATTGACCATGAGCACCAGAGAGCTGAGCATGGTGTGTTGTCAACACACACAGTAATGATGGGTAGCACCGAGTTTACTTGCTGTTTGGGGAGTGGACCTGCGCTGAAGTCTCGTCCCCACCTCCGTTTCCCGGACAATTTTTGGCCAGATGACCGGTCTTGTTGCATTGATAGCAATGCGCGTTAGTTGCCCTTCGCCTCTTCATGCAGTCCCTCGTGAAGTGATTGGGCCCATTACATTCATAGCATGTGACAAGTGGGCCCATGTCTGGGGAAGATCGAGGAGTCTGAGAGGACTGCACCGCAGTGACGACTGGTTCCATCTCTGCTGTCTCGTCCTCTATGATTGCCCGAGCTTGAGCCAATAGCTCCTCAAGAGACATATCATCCACCCTGGCTGAGGACCGCAGGAGCCTTTTCACAGGACCATGCATATCATCGCACTGTCTGGCACTCCTCCAAAAAGGACGGACAGCTTCCGTAGATCTGCCAAATATACGTCTACGGTCTCACCTGGACGCAATACACGTGCCTCAAATTGTTCATACGCCGTGAATCTATCAGGGGCAAATGCTGTCATCAATGCTCCCTTGATTCGAGCCGCGTCCGATTTCTCATCCGTAGATAGTTGCTGGTAAACTGCGAATGCTCCCCTGGTTAGGTGAAGAGGGATGACACGATCAAGCCACTTCGCTCCCAATAGGTCGCATACCAATTCCAACTTCTCGAGCCATTCGACCACAGATCCAGTCCTGTCAAACCCGGGAATAATTTTTAAATCAAACCGGCCGTTTATATCGGCCGAAATAGCTTGTCAGGTGTCCAGAAATTGATGTCGCTTTCTTTCAGCAATACGTCTAGTCTCACCGAAGCCTAGAAGAGCAGCGGTTCCCCACGTCCACTCGCCTGGTTTTTATCAGGTAGCGTTGTTCTTATATGCAAATAAGCCTGCTGCATGTAAATGGCAGTAGGCGTACGCACGCGCTACCGACTCTCAGAGAATGGTTTGACATGCAGCGAATTCATTTTGCTCCTGGTAAGTCACTGTCACATCTATTACAGCTGGCCACCATGCCTTTACCCTTAATCTCCTTTGCATAGCCGTTATTCCGCAATGAACATCATCATGAATACTTGTTATAATTTTGCTCCCTTGCATTGCTGGTGAAACCACAACCCTTTTCTCCAGTTAACTTGTGTTTAACCCCTTTAAAATACCTGCCCATGTGAGGATTCTACTTATTATTTTTATTCTGAACAATAGACTGTTCAGTATAGGATCTTACTTCAACATCAAATACCATTAACATTATGGTCTATCTTAAAATTCTAGATGTTACCTTAGGAAGTTCTTTCCTAGGATTGAATATGAATTCTAAAGGTTGAACTTTAGTAGGAATTTCTTTTCAATCAGAAACTCTATTTGTCGTTCATACTATGGCTAATGCTTCTTTCTCAATATTTGAAGAGTTCAATTCAACTTTTGACAATTTTCTCAAAAGATACACAATAGGAGCTAATAACCCAGACATTGAGTGTTCACTTGTGTCAGTTGTTACTATTATTTCCTTTCTAGGGTTGAATATTTTTACTACTGGCTTCTTTGCCAGAACAGCATTTAAATTTTCAAATTCCACTTGTTCTTTTGTCCAAATAAATTCCATACTCTTTTTTTACTTAAAGCAGCAAAATGTTCTGTCAAATTGAAGTATAGTTCTGCATATTGTCTGTAGAAATTTACAAGTCTTAAGAAAGATTCCAATTCATTTTTTGTTCTTAGGTATTTCAACTTTTAATATTTTGTCAATTAATGATTGATCTGGTGATATGCCTTCCTTAGATATGGAATATTCTCAAAATGATATTTTTTAATGTTGTGCACACATTTTTTTGTTAATTGTATTATAACAAGTGTTTGGTTGAAAAAGGAAAGGAATAACAAGGATTAGATTTTCAAACAGTATTTATTTGTTTAATATACATGATATATTTACAGTTGTTGGAAGATTGGAGAAAGTGTTGTTTTCAGTTGCTGATCACCAGGAATGATTAGGTGTAAGGGTAGAGCCATGAGCTGACCAATTTCTTGGGTTGGTTTGGCTGAAGTAACAGGATTGGTCTGGAGTGGAGTTAGTTGTTGGTTGGGTTCAATGAACATGTTGACCGATTGAGGTCACGGTGGTAGGTTGATTCATGGTAGGGTGTTTGGTTGCTGAAGTCATTGTGGTGGCAGTGAGGGATTAGGTGTAGCTGGTAGGCCCAGAATGGAATGTTTCAGTTGATTCAGTTGGATGTTGGAAAATGGGGTCGTGGTGGTGACTGCAAGGGTATGTCTGTAGCGAGTTTTGGGGAGGTGATGGCAGTGGTAACAAGAGATTCGGTGTAGCTAGTAGGCATGTGGTGGAATGTTTTATTACAAGGGTATGCCTGTAGTGAGTTGGGTTGCTGAAGTGACAGAAGTGGCAATGAGAAAGGCTTGTAGCTGGGTGTTGATGATGTCAAAATGTTATAAATCATGGCAGTTGTCATCAGGAGCCTGGTGGTTTCAAAACTAGATTGTTGACTGCATTTTGCCTGTGAAGAGTCAGGTGAGATTAGTGAAGCTGCAGTGAAGTTGCAATGACAATGTTGAGGTGTTATAAATGATAGCAGTTGACTTTGGGTGCCTGGCAAGTGTCGAAACTGGTCTGTCATTCCGTGTGTGAAAAGTTGGGTGAGATTAATGAAGCCGGGTAGTGGTAAGGGTTGTGTTGAGAGAAGCAGTCATGGCAGTGACAGTGCACCTGCATGTTGGCAACTGCTTTGGTTTTTGCAAGAGGCCTGCTTTTAAGTGGATCTGGCAGTCCCCAGGGTCATCTCCTTTTCTGGCAGGAACATTCGCGATTGGCAACTTTATCACTTTCATTGCAGAGACTTGCTTCATGGACTGGATGTGAGGCTCAGAACCTATATGCAGAAAACAACTTTTTTTTATTTTGTTTTCTGCCTTCTTGGTGTTCACATCTAGCCAGTATGCAGAATGAATCAGAAAGAGATCTAATTGTATATGTAATTGTGGATATCAACATCAAAGAAAAAAACAAAAATGTTCAGCATATAAAAAAAGAATGTGAAGTGTTTCAAGTGAATCATTTTAAAGATATCTGTAAATTCAAAAAGAATAAAGAAGAGACAGTCCAACAAAATGAAGAGGAAATAAGTATGAATGTCTTTTCATAATTATCAAGTGATAATTGTTTGTTAGATCTCAGTGATGCCATTGTTGTGCAGTGTTACCTACTCACAGGAAGTAGTATGCACTCAACTGCCTCATGTTTAATAGCTATTTATAGTCTTTGTGAATTCATATGTACATGAGTCACCTCAGTTTTAGCTTTTAAGCATGTATAATTTAATAACTATTAACTAGTTATTTGAAATGTTATACTTTTTAAGTAACACATATTCAAATTGAGCCAAATATTTTTCTGTTAAATATTCACACACACTTTGTGTTTACTAGTATGCCCATGCACTTGGTATAAATAAAAGACACAATATATCAAGTAGGGAGTGTGCATGATGTTCGAGTAGCAGATGGATGTAACACTCTGAGTTGAAGTAGGAAAAGGAGTCATTAAGATATCATCCTGTGTATAGTTTATTTCCTGTTGTATAAAACTTACTTTATAAGAAACTGGGCTAAAAAGAAAGAAAATGATTTTATAAATCACCTCAACAATTTCTGGAATATACACTTTATCTGCTTTCTTCTTTTCCTTTCTTTTTTCTTTGTGGTTGAATTGAATATTTTTACAAGGCCAAATTTTCACCCCATTACACTAATTTAATTCTGATACTTTTTTTCAGGCAAAGCATAAAATCATTAAAGAGCAAAAAGTAATAAAAGAAACTGCTCTGAAAAAAGAAAAGCTGACAACACAAAGTAAGGATCTTACTCTAAATAAACTGATAAAAATAAACAAGGGAAATAACGTTATCAGATTTATTATAAATAGGCTTCATGAAGATAAGAAAGAATGTTTAAAAATATTTGTTTCCAGTCAGAAATCAGGTTTAATGATAATCATATTTCAAAATTTAATTCAAATTTTTAATTTGAATTATTTTTTCCTAATTTTTTCCTCTACACTTTTGCTGTTATGCAATATTGTTTGACAGTTCAAATATAAAGTTTGTAGCTACAAATCAACTCATTCATTCAGAATGGAATCATGAAACTGCCTCAAAGATGGTGTTGCAGTATTCGAACAAAATGATACATATGTAGTTAAATAAATCTATGTACAAATATCTAAATATTGTCTTTGGAATTCACTTAAAATATACTACATAACTTTTTTCTGATACAAGAGAAATTTGACAAAATGATAAAATGAGGAACAAGTAAGAAGACCTTTATAAATTTAGCATGTTTTGCTACTTATTTAACTTTGTAAAAAATTATTGGGAAATAAAATAATGTGGAGTCATCTTGATTTTTAAATTTTATATTCTATTTTCATTGGTTGGTTAGATGTCACAAAGTTATCATGTGAATGATATACCAATGAAAACACAACATACAATTTAAATATAGTGAAACATTAAATTTATAAAGGTTTTCTGACTTGTTCTTTATTTAATCATACACACACATATGTATATAAACTGAACATATAATACTGTCAACCAAAACAGGTTGTTTTATTTTAATAAACTTATTCAAACAGATTTTAACACAAGAAACTAAAGCCTCTCTCTAAATCAGTCATAACTGATGAAAACATGGAATGGAAGTAGATGTGTGTAACTGTATAGTGAGTGTATTATGTAAAAATGTCTTCTCTTATAAAGATTATTTTTAATAAAAATGATAATAAAATTGCATGAGAAAAAATAATTAAAATGTTTGAATTGTGCAGAAATTAATATAAAAACTATTTTTATAAAAAGGATAATATTAAAATTGTATGACAAACTTAAATGTTGGAATGCATAAAAATTAATATAAAATTATTTTTAATGAAAAAGATATTAAATTGTATGAAAAACTAATTAAGAAAATCAGAATCTCACTAACACACAGTTGCTTTGAAAAAGAAAATGTCAAAATGAAACCAGGTTGTTTATAGAAAAACCACAGAAAATGAAGCCAGACTATTTAAATATTCTATGGCAAAATTTTACAAAGGATGGGCTCAGCTTTGATATTGTCAAAAACCAAGCAAATTTGAATTGTAAACAGGCATGATTTGATTGGTTAATGATTCTCAAGATTGGTTAACCAATAGTGATAAAAAGTATACACCCACTAAGGAGTTGGTTTTTGATCCAGTTGGAGTTACCTATTTGTTATATAAAAGGGGAAATTTTAACTGCAAGGGCAGAAAAGCATGTAAAAAATGCTGCTGAGAAAGGATTCTACCACTGTCATTGGGGAGAAAGATTAACCATCTCAGGCATGTAAAGTTTGCTCCTACTACTACAGGAAAGGATTTCAGTTGTATAAAGTCTACTTCTACTACTGCAAAAAGAATTTGGTCACTTGAGTGAGAAAGCTGTGACCTGGATGATAAAAGACTGCTTCTGCTTTTACTACTACAGTTGCTTCTGCTGAAGAAGAAAAAGAAAGAGAATAAGAAAGAAGAAATCTTTAAAACCTACAAGAATTCTCTTTATGAAGAATGTCTTTTTCTAAAACAGAATGTCCTTTTCAAACCTGTGAGAGTTTATCTCATATTCAAGAATATCTGTTCGAAAAATCTGAATATTTGTCTAAGGTACCCATAGAAACAGCTTTGCCTGAGGTAGGTCTTCCTTTTCTCACCCACCCCTTCAACTTTCAATCTTTGAATTTTGAATTTATGAACTTTTCAAAATAAGTAAATTTTGTTTGTGGTTAAAAAATTGATTTACATGAACTGTTAAAGGATAAGAGATTTTAAACCCTTCTCTCCCCACTTCTCTTATTTTTTCTTTATACTCACTCAGCTTGAGAGAGAAACAATTTTTACATATTAGGTAAATTTTAGAATGTGTTTGTAATTTCAAAAACTTTAAATCTGCAGCACTATTGAGACATTTTTCATTTATAAACTTATAAAGACATTTTATATTTTCACATTTTAAATGTTATGGTTTTAATATCAACTATCCATTAAGCTAATCAAATTAGTATCTAATAATTTGTTCTAACTAGCAATACTCATGAAAATTTCACATTTTTCCTATTTTCATTTTTTGATAAATCACAATTCTTAAGTTAATGATTGAATAAGTTTCTTGCAAGTTCCATGACAATAAAATATCCATGGAAATTTCCTGATTACATATTTAAATATTTGAGCTTAAAAAATTTACCAAATGTTATAACTATTGTAAGTATGATTGCAGGTCATTATTTAAAGAAGAGGGTACAAATGAAAAGATCCCAAATTGAGAAGGTTTTCTATTAAATTTCTTCTCTATCTTCCTTTCATTTGCTTTTCTTTCTTTCTTTCCCTTCCACCAAACAGCATCTCTCATAAATCTTTTTCTTCCATCTTTCGTCACAACCAAAACACTTTGAAATGAGCATTTTTCTGCCAAATATCTATGCAGATTCTTTTATCTATTACTATGTCCATGCACCAGGTATAAATAAAAGGACAACATATTAAGTAGTCAGTCCATGTGATAGTCTCAGTAACAGACAAAGTAGTAAGAGGAGTCATTAAGTCCATTTCCTGTTGTATGAAAACTGTATAAGAAGAAAGTGGACTAAAAAAATGAAAAACAAAAAAACAATTTTTGTAAATTTCTTCAACAATTTCTGGAATGTAAAAATTTTGTATTTACACTTTATCTGCTTTCTTCTTTTCCTTTCCTTTTTCTTTATAGATAAGTTGAATATTTTTACAAGGTCAAATATTTACCCCTTCATAGTTTTTAACTTTATTAATATTTGCAGTTTATTAATAGCAGTTCATTTATTAATTCTCTATATAAAATATTAAATTCCTTACACTTTCAATATGATTTTTGTACAAACTATGTTTTTGGTATTTTTTTTATATTACTGTGTTCATGAAACTTTCAATAAGGACTCCTTTTTAGAGCCACTGTTTTTTAAAACAAAGTTTTTAGGGATAGGACAAACGTATCTTAATAGTATTGTATAACAAACTGGAATTATTTACAGAAAATAACTACTGGTATTATTAACAGATAATCCCATGGTACTGTTATAAGATGACAAGGAAATTGAGATTGAAAAAGTGTTAAGAATTGTAAGAAAGAAAGCTTAGATAAAAAGGACCTTTTGGCTTGTGTATTTGTTTTGTAAACTGAAATATTTATATTAAATACATATTTTTCCTTTGTTATTTAAAAAACATTGACAGCATTAATGCTTAATAATAGTTAAAATGAACTTTTAGCATCTGTTTTGTAACTTTTACCTCCTTGTCAACAGTTAATGTTATGAAATATTTTCTTTACCTATATTTTTGACCAAATAAATGAAACACTAAAGAAAAAAGTAATTTGTATCACTTTTATGTGGTTTTATTTATATTTCAATAAAAATTTAAACAATTTCATGTTTTTTTAAATTTTCGAAAATTTTCTACCATGTAATTACAATAAAATAAACTTTGATTAAACAAGTTGATATATGAAAAATTGACAACTTTAAAATGAATTAAAACCTCCACATTTATTTGAGTAACAAGCATAAAATAAAAATAGTCTCAAAATATATGCAAGAAATAGGATACTTCAGCAGAGCTATTTAAAAAAAAATAGCAATTACTTAAATTTTTTGCCATATTTTAATTTAACCAGTGACTGTGCACTTAAACTGAGGATTTTTTGTCATTTAAGAAGGGATGTTTGGACCCTGTTTACTCGTAATAGATAATAACAGCATTGCTAAATTTATTTTTATTTTTACATATGACATTTTATACTATTTATGCACAACTGTATTACTTTAAAAAATATTTTCCAAGGAAAATAAAAAGGGAATTCACATTGTTTAACTAACAGATTATGAAATATTGAATTCAAAAAATCTGAAAACAGCTTGTGATGAATTTATTTTTATTTAGGTGAAAATTGATTGCCTTCATATTTTTCAATTGTCAATTACATTTACATTTTAAAACAGCATTTAAATTCAATTATTTTAATAAAAACAAATGTATTCTTAAATACTTTAAAAAAAAAAAACTATAAAAAATATTAAATACCCCAAGGCTTTATTGTAAATATGTTTTAATAAAATTTTGGTGACTGCTCATTCTTTTTTTTCCTTTTTATTACTACAGAGAAAAAAACAGATCTGTTAGCAACATTTACTCTCCGACCAGTTGGAAATATTGATGTAAATTTCACACCAAGAGTATTTCCAACTCCATTTAGAGAATCCCAAGCCCATGAAGAGGAAGAAGTAAGCTAATTTTGAACATTTAGAAATAAAAAGGATTTAATTTTCATGTCATTTTATTTTTTAGTAATAAAATTAATATTTCCCTCAATACATTTTAAAGTAAACAAGTAATGAAAAGTAACTCTGTCTTATATCTTTTTATTTTTTTTATTTTTTTAAGCATTTCATCCCAAGCAAGGCGGGAAGCCACTAGGACGCAAGGGGTTACAGAAAATTTAGAGCAAGATCAGATAGGAGTGATAGAAGAAAGGATGAGGGTAGTGGATAGATCAAGGCAACTGGAGATGTCGATTGACATTACACTTGAATAGCTGGAGATTATAGCTCACAGGGAAACAAGAGAAGGGAAGGGAGTTCCACAGGCGAGAGGTGCGAGACATGAAGCTATTAGAGTAGAAGAGACGGCTACATTTAGGAGTTTCGACAGTGAAGGGGTGAGAGTGGGATGCCAGCCTCGTAGGGCGCTGGAACTCATGACGTCTGGGAACCAGCGAATGCAGCTCCTCGGAGCAATTTCCATGAAAGTATTTGTAGAACAGACAGAGCAGTTAAATAAATTTAAGATTTATTCCTTATAGTATAAATGAGAAAAAAAAATTCAAACAAAAATTTATTGGTTTTTGTAAAAAGTATTTTTCCATGACCCCCTAATTTTTTTTTTATCTCAAATATAAAAATGAATTTATCCCTGAAAAATGTTATATCCAGAAATACAAAATGACCAAGACAAATCTAACCATTCCTATTCCAGTTAATTCAGAAAGTCTTATTCCATTGGACTAGCCATAAAACTATATACTTTCCATATATCAGACAATTTTATTAAAATGAACATCATATCATTTATAACATGTGAAAATATTTTTATAACTACATTTATATATATATATATATATATATATATATATATATAAAAGTTTCAAATTAAAAAATAATAATGTTTTATTTTATGAAAGTATTTATTTATTTATATATATATTTAATATATATAAATAAATAAATATATATATATATATATATATATATATATATATAAAAATATATATATATATATAAAGAAATAAATACTTTCATAAAATAAAACATTATTATTTTTTAATTTGAAACTTTTTCTATATATACATATTAAGAAAGTATACGTGGCTTCTCATTATGCTATATATATATATATATATATATATATACTATTTCTTCAGTGGTTAAGAAAACAAGCTGAAGCAAGAAGAATCAGTGAAGTGTTTGATGAAGATTTGAATGAAGAAGAAAAAAATCCAGATTTGCTTCAGAATAAAGGAAAGTATGTAAAATAAATTATTATTGTATTTTTTAATTCAGGATAGATAATCAGACACTAAAAACAAAGTTGGTGCAAAATAATTATTCTTACCAAACTCAGTAATTCAAAATTAGAAAGAAATTAAAATATTTTGACTTTCATTATAAACAAAAAACAGTTTACAGATTATTATTCTATTTAATATTGTTTAAATCTTTATTAAGGATAACAAATTGTTAAATTTCTTATCAGTGTTCAATGTATTTTTATGTGTCTTCATATAAATATGCTTCTAATTACTGCATTTTTAAAAACTATTTGAATTTTGATTTTCAGCAATTTTTTCAATGCCGGTAACTACCCTGCAGCAATCAATGTTTACAGTCATGCCATTAAGCTGAACAACAATATACCAGCGTATCCTTTATTAAAAAAAATGCTTTTTCATGAATTTTATATTTCAGTCTTTTTTTCATTTTTGTGTAAAAAAAGGAAAAATTATTAAAGAGTCTAGACATAAATTTAACCAAAATGATTAATATTAATTTTATCAGTACCACTTAAATGTAGAAATATATCATTAATAAATATTCTTATAACCTGTTTAATTGGTTTCAGCATCTTAATATATAAAGCTGATAATTATTTTAGTACCATTCTCTTTATCTCATTAAACTAAGTTTGATCATTAAAATTTAATGTTTATGAGTTGAAAATAAATATACATTTGTAGTTATAGTTATTTTGTTAAACTTAGAGTTTAAATCTAATAACAAATTCATTACATGTACCATTGAAATATAATTCTTATTTGTATGTTTCTTCATTTACCATATGTATAGTTTTGACATACATTAAAATATAGTCATAAAATAGGGAAATCTAGTTTGGGCATCAAATTACAAAAGATTCACAGTTAATGTCTCAAGGTTGGTTGCTTTCTCAAATCTTTAACAAATAAGTGATGATATTAAGCCATTTTGATATTAAATGTACTCATATTACACTTCTATCCAAAGTAAGAGCACTAAATATAATGATATTCTTACATCCAGTATCATCTATACCAAAATAATTTCCTGGTCATGAATGACCAAATATAAAATACTGTTGCTGGATATTCTTTTTACTGTACCAATTACACCAATTTTTTAAAAATAATTTCACCCCAAGCAAGGTGATAATGCCACAAGGACACAAGGGATTACAGAGAGTGAAATAGAATGAGACTTTAGTAAGGATAAGTGAGGGAAAAGACAATAAAGAAAGAGGATTCAGGAAGACAGAAGATCGCAGTTGATGCTACATTTAAATTTTTGAAGATTGTAGATGACAGGGAAATCATAAAAGAGTTCCACAGGCGAGAAAAGAAAAATATTTGGAATAGAACTGATGGTAGGATCTAGCTAGTTCATCAGTTAAATGGTGAGACCTAGTTGCCAATCTAGTAACATACCTAAATTCATGCAGTTGAAGCACTAACAGCTCATCAGAACATCTGTCATGAACATATTTGTAGAAAAGACAGGGAAATCATGTAATGTCAGTAAAAAAGTGACTGAAGTTGAGATGCCATGTCAGAATTGATTACATTACAGACCGTTCTTTGAATTTTGTCAAGAATCCCAAGATATATAGCCAGACCAGATATTACAGTAGTATTCATATTGCTGATATGACTTATGATAACAAATTTCTTCAGCCTAGTTGAGTATAATTTTTTCTTGTTCTGTTAAATCTCTGTACTGTTTAGTAGCATTATTTTGTGCAGTGGAGATAATAGAAACAAATATTGGAAATGTACTTTTTAATGAAATACTTACTTGGAAATTTATTAAGTAATATGAAGTTCTCTAAATAAAGCTAAACCAGTTTAATTTATACATTTATAAATCATGTTAAAATTTTACACTTTGTTTTTTTTGCTAAGTTTACTTTAAAAATCATGTACCAACATCAATCAAACATCATTGATAATATATTTTCAGAAAAATAAAAATATCATTCATATTAAAATGAAAGTAAAAGAATTTAAATATTTTGTTGTCAGATCTTCAATGTCTTGCATAAAATATCTTTATGCATGCAGTACCTGTCTAAAAACTGTTAGAACCACTCTTATAGTGTTTGTAAAATGTTTATTATTTAGTAGTCACTATTTATTTAACATTTTACATACAAAATTAAAAAAAAAAAAAATTCAAACTTATGAAAAATAAAGTCTTGTAATATTGTAGCACAAGTGAGGAAGTGGGGAGGATGATCAACTGCCCAATGGCGATTTGATCCCTGATCACAAACTAAGTTAGGGAATCTCTTTAGATCTTAGACACAACATGGTTAATGAAATCTCTACATTCAATGTCAAAACATTTCTGAATCATCACCTACCACATATCACAATGTTTACAGTTTCTGAAATTTCAAAATAAAAATGAAGTCAAGTTGACATCCAACAATAGGGACTGAGTGCCATTGTTATTGGTTATAAATTTTTCATGATTGTATCTACCCTTTCCAAGCAGTTTGACAAAAGACTGAACTTCTGACTGATGGGATGACAGATTGCTGGCCCAAAGAATAACAGTTATTAGTCAATTCTACTCCTGGTAGTATAAGTAGTTGCTGTCATTGTTTTGAACCAACTGCTAAACTGTTTCACCATTTTCTTGCTACTGTGAGACAACTGCTGAAACTCTACATACCCTTGACAATACTTTGAAGTGGAGTGCTCCATATCTCTGGCCTTGTGCCACACCTAAGATACACTTAGTAAATTGCTACTTTGGGTTGCTTTGTTATCTGAGCTCTGGTGGAATTGTCTCAGAAGTTATCTTTAGCTGTATGCATGACAAATATATGGCTTCCTCCTGACATCTATGATGGATGACCAAGATACCTCCTTTCCACTTGTCTGATAAGTTGACATTCAATAGTCAACAAAATATTGTATTAGCTGATTTAGATCAGCTAACCCAATTTGTTTGTATGACCTAAGAATAAAATTAATTTATTGATTAGTATTTTAAGTTAGTATTCAAATTTTAAAGTTTTATCTAAAGTTAATTGGCTGGCAAGTGTTGACTTACTATTTTCCCAACATGAGACAAAATGTACTTTTGTTTATATTCTATCTTACTGGTTAGCTGCAAGTTTGGGTTCAATACCTACAGACTCATTTCATTGTAGCATTTTATCAGAATCAATTAGTCCTCTTAATTAGTTCTACATTTCTAATTTATGTATGAAAAAATCTAATCCAGTACTTTCTTCCAATCTTCCAATGAAAAAATAAGCTATATTTACAAACACCTTAAGCTATACATGATGAGGGCCATTGTCAAGCCTATCTAGGGATCAATATGTCTCCTGTGACAAAGTGGGTGGGGATCCCACCTTGTAACAATATTAACTTTTGATCAATGACTAGTTTTATTTTGTTTTTTATTCTTTTTTGAAGTCAGTAATGTCAGTAAAATTTTCATTTTCCTTAATGATTTTAGTCTTTATTCCAATAGAGCTGCGTGTCACTTGAAAATGAGAAACTTTATGAAATGCATCAAAGATTGCTCAACGGTATTTTATTATTTTTTATATGGTTTGTTAAGAAGCAATAATTTTGTGATGCAAAACTCATGAAAGAAAAAAGTAATTCATTTAAATAATAATTGTCGTAATGAAAATGAACTTAAGAAGAATATTCTAACCATCAGAATTGAAATATGTTAAATATTTAGATTCAATTTTTTTCCAATCACATTTTGTTTATTCTAAAGCAAATTGTTGCCAATTATCATTTAATTATTTTTATACTGTGATGAAATATGCATGAATTTTGCTAAGAAGATTTACTACTAATTTCTAAATCCTTTTATTTTAATGTAAATATTTGAAATTTATTTAGGCTCTGGACTTGCTACATCCATGTGTACCTCAAAATGCAACTTCTCGATGCAGAGCACTGGTAAGAAGAGGAACAGCTTTTTGTGAAATGGAATTATATGTTGAAGGTATTATTATAATCTAATTGTTCAAATGAAGCTTGTTTTAACACGTATAAATATGTGATAATTTTCCCAAGACTATATAACATATCATTATTGTATTTATATAAACAAATCTGTTATTCAAACACATAAACATTTCCTCACATAATGGTTAGCAATTTTATAATAATTATAACATGTATAACTATAACAAATTAATTTCTAAAAATGGCCTTTACTTCATTACAGGTTTACAAGATTATGATGCTGCTTTAAAACTTGATCCAAATAACAAGCAATTACAGAAGGACGCTGAAAATATTCGTAACATGATTCAAGGAACGAGTTAAAAATTAAATAAAAATTGAAATCTGGTTATGAGCTATATAATGTTAAATTTTGTAAATAGAAATCATGAAAAATTCAATTACCACTTTTTGTTTCACTTTAAATTGATTTAGAATATTTTACATTTAATAGCATTCTCTACAATAATTTTCTATGTATATTGTTTTATTTTATATTAGCTATATTTTGGAAATGTCAAAAAAATTGTTTCAAGTTAAAAACAATTACAAAATTTTTAATTTTCAAAGACTTGAAAAAATGTTTTTTTGCAAAAGTTATTGTTGTTGAGCACATTGTAGAAAGCAAATTCTTTAATGAAAAAGATATCAAGAAGTCTTTTTTTATTATTTTTAAGATACTTAATTGCTACATGATTGTATGCTTTTTTTTCATATTATGCAGATATGATAGACATATTTGATGTCAACTCAAACAAAAGGTAGAAATAAAGCAGAATACTAAAGGATTCTTAATAAATAAATAAATTCATTTAATAAAAATGTTTTTATTAATAAGTGAGATTCATTTTGAAGTCCAATTGAGGAGCGTATTAAATTTTTATAGTAAAAAAATAAATGAGTTTAATAGATTACTATTAGATATATTAGTAAGGTATTTTTACAGTTGTTATATAATGAGAAAAAATGACAAAAATTTACTATAATTTCAAAGAGGTTGATCATTTCTTAGACTTTAATCTTAATAAATTTTTATTTTTACTATATAGAATCTATTTCAGTAAAATAAATGTATTCAGCAGACAGAAAAGTTTTTTTTTTGATTCTTAAGAGTCAATTTTGACTAACATTTTTTGGTCTAATTTTTTTTTTAAGGAATATATTTTTACATTCATTTACTATGTGGCTTATCTTCAACTTTATTTTTGTCCTTGTATTACTTTCATTTTTAGTTTTACTGTTGAGTAATATTGTTCTTGTTTTCCATCTTTTTTCCTCTGGAGAAACATAATTTTATCAGTAGTATAAATTTTATGGATGCAAAATATTTAAAAAAATGACATTAATGTTCGTTTAAAAATTGCTTTTAAGAAGTTAACATTTACAAGCTTTTCCATTGTCAGATGGTAAATGTCTAATGGAGCCTGTATGTGGTTCCCGTTGTCGATCAGAAAATGACAATTGTTGATCTTCCTGAAAAAAATGAATTAAAAAAAGGTTAATAATACATTAATTAAAAATATGTTAAAATAATTATTTAAAAAGATGTTAATAGATTAAGCAGAAGTCATTAAACTTTTATCAACAAATACATAAAAGCATTCATACCATAAAGATACACTATCAAGATAAAAAGTAATTTTTCAAAATTTACTTTGCAATTTCTCTTTAATTTTCTGAAAAATGCTTTTTTTATTGAAGTATTAGAAAGTAGTAAAAATAAATTGTATGCAATCTCTCAAATATTAATATAACTCAGATTCAATTTAGATTTAAAGAAATTGATTGAGTTGGATTTATATCAAAGACAAAATATTGGTATATTTTTCTTGAGTTTTTTTTCCCAGTAACTGTATTCATGCATTCACTACTGTTTCATGAAGGGTTTCAGTTTTACTTTTCAAGTCTAAATGTTGTAATAGATATATATATATACATTCAACTGCTGGGCAGATATTTTATATCAACCAAATATTTAGATCTTCAAACAAAATACTTTCATACTAAGCCTTATGCTGGTTATGAACAGGCAGCTCAAGTCAATGCCTACTCATAAATGTGTCATATTAGACTCATTGATTCAATTGTTTAAATATAAAACAATTGCTAAGCTTTATTTCACTTGACCAAAATAACTCCAGAAATTTTCTCTGCTGTTGGTAAAGAATCTATACTGATTCATCAACCTTAAAACCAATTAAATTTGCCTTCAAATTTAGTTAGACATTTGTAGTTTGATAAGCAACTTCAGTAAAGAACTAATTAATTTACCTGAAACAATTCTTTAGGGTATCTCTTTCATATTACTGTTGTTTAAAGCATTAAAAAGGTAAGTCAACCTTGCAAAGAAAACTTCATCTTCAACACTTGAAATATTTACTGTGTAGTGACACTGGCAAATTAATATGCCTAATTTGCATGTGCAAGAGAAAGCCTATATAACTCGTCACTGAGAATAACGTGGGAGGAAGACAAGCTTAGTGACTGACTAGTGCTAAACTTCGACTTCACATCAATGACGTCGCCGATAGGATCCCATTTGTCTCTAAAAGATTCAGATTTTGTGGATGCATGGATTTGCTGTTTTTCTGCCAGTGCGAGAAATAAAAAGCTGAAAGACAACAAGGAGAAGGGAGGCGAAAATGAAATTACGGATTTATTTTTGGCTACAGCTGGATGCGAGGTGATAATGAAAGTCCCCACCATAGCATATCCCACAAACTTGGAAGACCTGACTTTCGAAAAAAATAAGTCAGATTATAAGGAGAAATATGAGACCCAAGAAAAGGCTGGTAGTGGCAGAAAGAACAAAGTTTATGTAGATGAAACAAGAACTTGACGCACCAATTATAAAATATCTACACCATCTACAAAATGCGAGTAGATATTGCGAATTTGAAAAACTCGGACAAGACAAACAGACTATTGAAGAGGACTTGATTCAATTAAGGTTAATTGAAGGTATGTGCAATGCATCACACCGATATAAAATAATGGAACAACTACAAATAAGAAATATGAAAAAAGAATGTTGAATTTATTTGGTCAGAGGAACAACAAAAAGCTTTTGATAGATTAAAAGTAATTATGGCAAAGAAACCAGAAGTGAAAATGTTTGATCCAAAAAAGGACATAACGTTAACCACAGATGCAAGCGAACATTCAATATCGGGAATGTTATCACAAGAAGGACATCCGATAATGTATTTATCAAGAAGACTAATGAACACTGAATTTAATTATTCAAATATAGATAAAGAAGCATTGGCTATTGTGTGGACAACTACTAGAGCCCGACAATTTTTAATTGGGAAAAAATTTCTGTTAAGAAGTGATCATAGACCATTAGAGTTTATATTTAACCCAAGGAAAGAATTACCCAAAGTCACGACATCAAGGATACTAAGATGGGCAATAAGATTAATGGCATTTGACTTTGATATAGAATATGTCAAAGGGAATTCAATTCCACACATAGATGCACTATCAAGATTGTGATTTTACAAGGAGTCAAAAGATAAAACAGAAGAATTTGAAGATGCATTCTTACATTGGGTAGAGACTGATGTTTTGTCTTTAGATAGAATGGCTGCAGAAACTAGACATGATCCAGTACTAAGTAGGATAATATCGAGAATAAGAAAAAATTCATGTGGAAATTGTTCTAGGGCGGAAAGACCCTACAAAGAAATAAGACAGAAATTAACGATAGAACATGGAGTGATTTGTAATGGGGATCTGTAGTTCCCCAGAAACACAAAAAAAATTGGTAATAAAAAAGTGTACATGATGATATACACTGTGGAGTAAGCGACCACACAAAAAAAAGGATAAAATTAGAAGCATGGTGGCTGGGATATTCAAGAGATGTTGAAGAATATATAAAAAGGTGCAAAAAATGTAAAGAATTAAGAAACTTTACACAGACTACTTTACATTTGTGGCCCAGAGAAGTGGAGCCATGGAGTCGGGTGCATATGGATCATGCGTATATTACTGGAGTGGGACTCTTATTAATTCTAGTAGACTCTTTTTCAGGCTGGCCTGAAATAATCCGGGGGCCAGACAAGAAAAGTTCTACGATAAAACAGATTCTAAGGGTCATATTTTCCAGAAACGGCACACCAAAAACCCTGGTATCTGAAAACACACCAGAATTTTGTGATGAAGATCTTAATTTATGGTTAGAAAAAATAGGTTGTAAACCGTATAAGACACCCCCATATCACTCTCAGTCGAACGGGTTAGCGGAAAGAATGGTGCAGACCATAAAAACGGGACTAAAAGCATGTTCTCAGCAAAAAGAAAAAGTAGAAGTTTTTCTACCGAGGCTGCTTTTAAGCTATCGCACAATACCACATGCTGGAAGACTAGAAAGCCCATCAGCTTTAATGGGAAGACAAATTAGAGCTCTGCTAATGATGTCGTATTCCACAAATGAAAGAATGTGGTACAAAAAGAACAAAGAAGCAAATCTGGAAAGGGCAGAATTTATCATGCAAAAAGGCCACAATACAGCTATAATAAATAGAGAAAACGGCAACAGTGTATTAGCCCATGCAGATCAAATAAGGACCCAGGGTGAATATGAAGAGCAAAATGATGAAGAAATGTCTACGATTCCGTCCGTTAATGATTTATTAAAACAACCGTTACAGAATGAAACATCAGAAGACGAAATAATGCAGGATCAAGTGGGCCAGAATGAGTTTGAAAGTTCGGACGAAGAACAAATAATGCAAGAAGATGCCTATGATTACAGCTTAGCGCAGGACAGATCTAGGTCTCCCAGGAAAAAAAATATGGGAGAGAGAGAAGTAGAGCAAAGTAATGAAACTATCACGAGAAGAAGTACAAGAACTACTAGAGGTATAAAACCTATACATTTCAGGGAGATGTAGTGACACTGGCAAATTAATATGCCTAATTTGCATAAGTGCAAGAGAAAGCCTATATCTCGTCACTGAGAATAACATGGGACGAAGACAAGCTTAGTGACTGACTAGTGCTAAACTTCGACTTCACATCATACTGCTAAATCTTTTCAAATCTATTGATTTTCATGTTGCAATCCATACCTTTATTTTCATTCAGAAAGTGATTTTAGATTTTTGAACACACCATTACTAGAATAAGAAGAAACAATGTATACAACAATCATCCAGAGAGACAACCAGAAGAGTCCCAAATCATATTAAGATAACACTTCTGTTAAAATCCAAGTCATTTCAACAAAAAGTAAATTGATGTCAAGTCACTCATATATACCTAACCATTGACAAACAATTTAAAATGCGGTACTACACTCTAAAACATAACCAAGTGCTGACTGTAAGAATGATTACTTCCCAGTTATATGAAAACTAAAGGTAAAATTACAAAATTAAAGGAAACTAAAGCAATGCCTAAACGATAAAATGATAAAGTTAAGAGGAGATATAAAAACTCAGAAACTCAAAATGGAACAACTTAAGTAGAGCATAAGTGACAACAGTAAAAGAAGTCATTCCAAGGGAAACCAGACAAAGAAAAAAATAGGTGAAATTCTCAATCTAATGAGAGACAACAGATAATACCAAGAAATAGTGCAGAATATATGATGTTAAACATTACAAATAAATGTAAGCAAGCAAAAAATGAATGACTCAATGAGGAATGTGTAAAATGTAGACATGTATAACAGGACAGCAAATGATGCATAAAATCTAAAAAGGGAACAATCATAATAGACAAAGAAAAGATACTACAGATATGAAATTAATACATTGGATAACTTTTCCATGCCAACAGAGGAAAGAAACCTATAATAGATACAAAATATGGAAATTACTAAAATTTGAGATTAGGTTAGGCCAGCACTGGACAAGATGAAATTTTTTGGCTAAGATCAAAGTGTAGCTTAATATCTCATCAGACCTTGTTGGACCATTACCTTCTTGGATTTTACCTGGATTATATATGGATCATATTGGATTTATTTTACCATGTGGGACATGTCTGACACAAAGTCAGTAAAAAGTAACCTTCTGGGCAGGCAGGAAAAAGTTAGTGTTCTCCACAGGTAGGTAACACCCAGAAAAAGAGGCATTTGCCCACCCAGGTTTCTACCAGCAACACTAGTGGAAGATCCCAGTCTTCACTCAAGACCTTGTCTCCCCAAGAGGCATCCCACTCAGACCAGCTGCCTCACCAAAGGTCAACTAAACCCAACCAGCTGCCTTCTAAAGAGGCAACCAAACCCAACCAGCTGCCTCCTAATGAGGCAACCAAATCAGACCAGCTGCCTACCAAACGTGCAATGACCGAGGAATTACCCTGGGCTGGAAGTCCTCGCCCACATGCATTTTCAATTTAAAAGAATTCCTGGAGAGGGCTGAGAAGTATGCCCATCTTATTAAAGATGGTGGCTTGTTGGTAGACAAGGACTTTGAAAAATATCAACAAAGAACTATGTCTGTCTTTGTGGTTGACAA